CATGTCGAAGTCCTCGTCAGGGTCCAGCTTCTTGTGAACATCCTCACCTGCGTCGGGCACCTCCTCCTCCTCAGGAACATCACCCTTAGACCCCACAAGCTCTTTTTCAACGCGATCCCCAGCTTCCAGCTCTAAGCCATCTTCTTCATCTTTGTAGTCTTCTTTGGATAGCTCGCCCTTGTCGTAGTCTACCCACGTGCCTCTACCATCCTCCACAAACGATTTAGGCACGCGAAGCTTAGCGACAAAGATGTACTTGAACTGCTTGGGAAAGGCGCCTCTTGCATCAGGATCTGAACCACCCACCTTCACCGGACCTGTTAAGTCCGCCGACAAGACAAACGCCGAGGGGTGCTCTATTCGAGCGTGTCTACGTCCCGTTCCTCCAGCTTGTACGCACACGGAGCAGTCTGCACGATAAGGTAAATGGCCTCTCCTTACGTGCTCCTTCCACTGTTCTGCACTCATCTTGACCATGCGTGGCACTGTTCCCCAGTTTCTCAAAGCCAATATTACATGTTCCAAGAATTCAGTAGGCCAAACACATGCTGGAGAACGCTCTGGTACTGGACCATCTGTATACCACCGTTGTCTCAGTCTGTCCAAATGTCGTAGTGATAGGTTGGTTCCACACGTTGTATGTCTTGTGAAAGCCTTTCCTAGAGCGGCCATGTCAAAGCTGTATGTATGCAGTCCTGCTTCCAGTGCGTATTCAGACCACAACGAAGTTCGCCATAGGCTAACAACACCTGGATAAAGAGGATCCCCATACTTCAAGTACCCCCTTGGGTCCCTTGGATGCTCCAACATAAAGCCGACCTCCTTTGGAAACGTAGGATCCTTGGGACTGGCCAATCTCCCTGCAGTAGCCAATGCATGAAGATATATCATTCTGGCAATGAGCTTGGTCTCCTTGTTTACACTGCTAACATCTGCATCCGGTTGACCGCTCCAATTGCCGTTACGGAAACTCGTTGGTTCGTAGTTGAGGAGGACCACCAAGATTGTAGCGGGAAATCATAAAAGAGCCTTGCGGAGGTCCACCTATGATGGCAGAGATCTTTCCTTTCCGGGCCGCAAACTCCAATACACGCCAGGTCGCTGGTCGTAGGATGTCATGCGTCTTCCCCCTCGCAATGTCCAGCTCTAGAATAGTGTAGCCATGAGCCTCTAGGTGCAACAGCTCCTTCTTTTCCCGCTCGCCTGCAAACAAATGCACTATCCACTTGTCTGAGCTCCACAGTCTTTTCCTCGTCCTCCGGTTTAGATGCTGTAGCCCCTTCAACACTTCCCAACCATTCTGCTCTGGCACAGCATCCGTCAGTCCTTCCAGACATTGTCGAGGTAGCTCTTGGAAGAAAGGCGCTGATTCAACGGACTTCATCGCCTCAGTAGAAATGCTACCCTGAGCATAGGCCTGCAAGTGATCGAACCACGTTCTCTCCATCATCATTGCGGCTGTCCGTACCTTTTGTCGCGTTTGCTTGATGTTGCCCTTGAGCTCCTCCAGGTTGTTGTCTTCTAGCTTTGCTATCAACCTTAAGGCATCGTGCTCTGCAATCTCAGGACACCCATCGCGCACACGGAGGTGAAAGCACTCACCACTGCGACCTTCCAGGCGGCATCGGGTCCCGGTCCACGTCATTGCGTACCCCAATTGACCTACCAAGGCGCCCAGCGGTACTATAGGCGCCGCCGCGGTTGACTGCTCATCTACCGTCGATGGAACCAAGATAGTGCCTGCAGCGTTCATACGAAGAGACACAGATTCCCCACCAGCTAAGTTCACGATCACTGGTCGCGACTCCTCCCACTCCTCCTGAGACATTGCCCTGCGTAGTGCATGCGTTGCGCCAGAGTCGACTAAGGCATAGGTTTGCATTCCTCCAGAAAGTGGACGATGGGCACGTAGAGACACAACATTGACTGATGGGCTATCTGAAGAGGGCTTGGTTCCCGCTACTTTAGCCGCAGCTTGGAGCAAAGACTCCAGTGTCCATACTGGCTCGCCTGTAACCACTCCTCCTGCCGCCGACGGGGAAGCCTCTCCTTCGGGCTCTGCGCGAAGCACTTTAGGCGTAGTCGAACTAGTTGGGGTAGACGTAGCACCACCGCTATCCTGTGATCCCAACGGTCTCTGCACTGTCCTCTGAACCTTGGTTGGGCAGTCTCGTTGGCGGTGGTCTTCTCCTCCACAACTCAAGCACTTCTTCGCCTTTTCTTGCTTGCTAAGAGCGGACATATCATGGCCATAAGGACACTTCTGTCCTCTCCTGCAGCCCGTAGCCTTGAAGAAGTACTTGCACGGAGCCTTTCTTGCAGAGGCCCCAGGTCCAGCGCGCTCCTGCTGCACGCCAACACCGATCGCCTTGACCTTTGGTAATAGTGCGGGAGGGAAAGTCTTGGCTGCTGCTGCTGACTCCAGCTCGGCTTGCAGGTGTTGGTGGTATCGTTTGACATCTTCCAACGACGGTTGTCCGTCGATGCGCAGCGTTGATCTCAGCAGCTGCGTGCGAAACTGCGCATCTCCACCCTCTGCTATAAACCTTGCTGTAACTGCCGTAAGCGTCTTCGCCAAAACAGTTCCATCCGGACACATCATGCTCAAGTCCTGACACCTTTGGATCCACCTTGGCCATGAACGCAGCCACGTAAGCGCCTCCTCCAAGCTGTCGCACGTCACCGGGGACTGTAGGTTTCCCAAAACCAACGACTTCTCCGAAGCTCCTCCCGGCTGGTACATAGTATGCAGTCTAAATAGAATCAATGCTGAATGTTGCACCACTCGTCTAGCGATAAGATCTTGCTTGATGGCCTCTGGAAGACTCTGAAGTAGCATAGTGCAAGCCCTGGCGTTCACACGGGTCCACTTTCCCTCCGAGAGCCTTTTATAGTTCTGCGGTTGTAACTGCAATCTCTCCAGAGGTGTCGATCCCAACCACTTGGTATATGTTCCCTGCACCACATCCATTACTTCTGTCCACCAAGAACCCGACGAAGTCGATAAATCCTGCATTGCTATTGCAATCTGCGCTAGCCAGTCCTGTAGCATTATTCCCGTGGATATTCCCTCAGGCGAAGCCAACATAGGCAACGCTGATACCGTAGACTTCACTGCCTCCGGCGCTTCATCGTCCAAGCCTTTCTGTAGCGTCTTCGCCTGCATCTCCTGGAGCTGGGTCATGCTCCTGGTCAACATTTCCAGCATAACAGCAGTTTGGTCCATTGCTGGTGCCTTGGGCACCGCCGCGTCCCTTGTTTGCTGTACGGAGGCTGACTGCTCAGCCGCCGAATTTGCCTTCCCCGACCAGTCTTCCCACAAAGCTCCTAAAGGATCACGCCACGGATTTGCACGAGGTGGAGGTAGAGGCTCAGGATCTTGTCTTGGTTCACCGGAAGCTTGAGGTTCTTTATCCGTAGATGCCCTCAACAACTGTTCCTGTAGCCTGGCATTCTCCGACTCCATATACTGTAAACGATCTATCAACCCACCAAGCTGCCGCTGCACTTCTGCTTGTATCGCTTCTGTTGGTAGCTCGCTGCTGCTTGGGGTTGAGGTGTTATTATTAACATCGCGTCCCCTAGTAGAACCCCTAGCACTCCTTGCATTCACAGGGCCAAAGTCAGTAACCTCTCGAGCAGATGCTTCAGCACCTTGTCTGGTAGGATGCTGGGTCGACCTTATTGGCATAGGGGGCGAAGGCATAGGACTTGGCAACCATGTAACCGCAGGAGCTTTAAAGAACTCCCCCAGTCGAGTAACCCATCCCGGCAGGCTGCTCTGCGTCTGCTGCCGCTGGGCCTCCACATACATTGAAGACCTCGCCGTTCTCGCACGCGGGGTTTGAAAAACATTGCTTTGCTCAGCTTCCACTGCCGAGCCCGGAACCAGATCTCCAGCACTCATGCCAACCTGCTCAGCTGATCCATCTCCACTTGAGTTCACTTGGTAAACTATGTCGGTGCGAGATCTTGATCCCTGAAACAAGGGTGGGTCTCCAGCTGACTCATCCTGATATCCAGTAGCGCCTACACTCTGCTGCTCGGCAAAGGTTGTAGCGGACGGCAACGGCCCCGCTCCCATCTGAGCGTCATCGCCATCATTTTCGCCGCCCTCACCAGCTTTCATAGTTTGCGACTGTTCAGACTTGAGGGTCTGCCCCAAGCCTGAGCTAGTCGCCGCGGTTTCCACCCCGACTCGGAGCTTCCACCACCATTCATCTGCGGAGCCGCTTGTTCACAGGCTGAGCTTGGGCTCATAACCTGATGAGGCGCAGGAGCCTCTTATAGGCAAGCTTGACAGCAAACCATGGGCTTCAGTCCTCGAGCGAATTGATCTTTTTTTCACACTTACAAACGTCCAAGCATCAAAGCCTTCAGCGAACATGTCATTTGACATTCGTACCGATTAGGCTGACTGCTCTACATGCTCTTGCAGGCATGTCAAAAGTAACCGCTGCTCTCTGCAGTACGCATGGTTGTGCAACGGTCAGTAGCCCAAGCAAGGTCTTTACACGTAGCCTTACCTGGAGCCACAAACAAAAAGGCGAACCGGCAGCATGCGACTCCTGCTCTTACCCCAGCACCACATGACCGAGATCCATAAGGGGCATCCCCATGTCTTCACTTATAGTAACCCCTTAAGGGAGCCCTAAACCCTAAACCCTATTCTAATTAGTATTACTATTACTATTACTATTCTTCTAATTATTATTATTATTGTTATTATTATTATCATTATTATTATTAAGGGCCCCTACAGGTTCTATACGGGCCACTATAAGGGTTTAGGGTCTAGGGGCCTTAATGATTTGAATAGGGCTTTGGGGGTTCGTTTAAAGGGTTCCTTAAAGGGTTCTTTTTCTTTAAGCCCCGCCCCCAAATAGCATAGGTAATTATTCTAGGCCCCTATGTTAGGACCCTAAACCCTAAACCTAAACCCATACTAACCATTAAGTATTGAGGCCCCCGATCTTCGGTTCTTTTCACCGCACCGCCAGGAGATCGAAGTGCCGCAGACGACGACGTCACCTGCCGAAGAGCTCGGGGATCTCTCGGGTTTGGGGTTTAGGGTTTAGGGTTTAGGGCTTAGGGTTTAGGGTTTAGGGTCCAGGGTTTAGGGCTTAGGGCTTAGGGCTTATAGTCTCGAGTTTTGGTTGGGTTGATTCAGGGTTTAAGGCTTAAGGCTCTGGGCTTATAGTCTCGAGTTTTGGTTGGGTTGGTTCAGGGATTAAGGTTCAGGGCTTTGGGTTTAGGGTCTAGGGAGGTTTAGGGTTTAGGGAGGTTTCGGGTTTCGGGAGGTTTAGAGGGGGGCGAGAGGTGGACATAGGGATTCCATGCGGGCTACTATTCCAGGGGTTGCTCGAAGCGTGGGCTAGTGGAAGTCTAAGGTTAAAAGTCTGGGCCCCTGGTATGGACCCCTAGGCCTTTCTAGGAATTCTTAAGGGTACATACAGGGTATATAGTAGGTGTATAAGGATCCCGGGGTTAAGGGCCCGTACTAGGGGCCCACGGAACCCTAAACCCTAAACCCTAAACCCTAAACCCTAAACCCTAAACCCTAAACCCTAAACCAAAACCCATACTAAGGGCCCATGGGTTCAACCTTAGAGTAAGAGGTTTAGGCGGTTGAGCTCGGGCCCAGCCCCCCGGGGCGGAGGATGGTTTGCTGATTTCAACAGCTTCGAAAGCCAATGGGAGAGCTTTACACTTTTTGGCCCTATAAATTAGGTCTATCCTGAAAAGGTTGAACTTTTTTGGGCCTGGTTGTGGAAGAAGAGAGACAAAAAGGTTCCATATAGTTGAGGGGTTTAGGGTTTGGGGGTCTAGGGTGCCCTATGGTTGTTCTGACAACCCATGTAACACCCTTCCAAAACCCTACAATGCCACTTTTTAAGCAAACCCTCGTCAGGACCTCCTAAATCTGAACATAGACCCTATCAAGAAGGAGGCCTATTCCCATGCCCTTTGGAGGAACTAAGCATCGAACCCCCAAACAGTCGATAGATGGGGACGCTTTATTTCGGGGTTCCATGTGTTGGATCCTCAGGGGTCCTTTCAGGCTTCCTTTAAGGGCTCTATGAAGGGCCCCTCTAAGAGGCTTCTTTGTTTGAGGGATCTATAGTATACGTAGGGTTCCCTTAAGGAGGTCCTTTTAGCGTCCTTTTTTGAGGGTGCCGTACTACTTTGGGACCTAAAGAGAGACAATAGTTTAGAAAACTACCCACCTAGCAACCTTATCGTACCCTTACAGGAACCTTATAGAAAGATCCCTTTATGTACCCCGCTGGATGCCCAGAACGGCGGCGGAAGAGGACACGACAAAGGCATCGAGCACCACTGCTGCTGTGGAGGAGACTTTTGGGGTTTAAGGATCCCATTTAAGGGATCTATATGGGTAGTTGTCAAAATTATGGTCCCTTTTGGGGTACCCTAAATAATAGGTGCCGTATTATAATAAGGACCCAAAAAGGGGCCATAATTTTGACGACTGCCCATATGGGTACTATAAGGGTTTGGCCTGATCTTCGCTTTAGGGGAGTTTAGGGATCAGGGCTTTAGGGGTTTAGGGTTTAGGGATCAGGGATCAGGGCTACTTGGAGGATCATGGGACTTGGTAACTAAGGTTATAAGTACCCTAATTGGGGTTATAAGTAAGTATACGTCTAGTTACCTTATTTATAACCCTAGTTAGTAAATCCCCTGAACCTGTAAGTAGGGGTACTATACGGGTTTTGGGTTTAGGGTATGTGGAGGATCTTTGCGACTGAGAAAGTAGGGTTTAGACGTACCGGAATTGCGGTACAGTGTAGCTATATGATCCTCTAAGTAAGGGGCTCGTATTCATTAGAGTTTGAAACGATGTTAAGTTACAAGAGTTTTAGAGGTAGCTCTCCGGATGTTTTGGTGGTCTGAACATTGAGTGGTAATGTCACCCTGTCGTCCCCAAACCCTAAACCCTAAACCCCTATAGAATTGCCCCCAAAACCCTGCTCTGAATTTAGCCGTTCGGGATCGTGCATCTAAGATCCAGGCCTGTGGAGCTTTCAACAAACATCATGCGGCGCCTGTGGAGACTCCAAAGCTTGCATAAAGGGTTGCGGGTTTTGGGTTCCTATATAACTTGGTGGTCCAAAACCCGGCTTTTCTATTCTGGGGCTCTTAAAAGGTAGTCTTGTTCTGAAAGTTTGAACTATCGAAACCATGGGCATTTGGGAAATGGGATAAGTGCTTCGTTAAGGGCCTGCCTGAGACTGCCAGCTTTCCAGCCGGCTACATATATTGAACCTGATAAACGGCCAGTAACCTTCGCTGGGAGAGCAATAATTCCGTAGGGCTCCTGAATATAGTTAATAACCTTCGCTGGAGGCAATAATTCTTAGTAACCTTCGCTGGGAGAGCAATAATTCCGTAGGGTTCCTGAATATAGTCAGACTCCAACTTACCCCCCATACTCGAAAATATCGTCATACTACAATATGCAGCACACCTGGAATATGATCACACTTCAGTGTACCCCAAAAATGGAACATAGTCATGGAACCTGCAGTCTAGTTCTCAGATATCGAGGGCCAAATTTCATGGAGCGTTCTTGGATGCTTTCTCCAACACGTTTTGCCGATCTTGCCTGTTCCAAGCCCTGTTTGCATGTGCTTATGTATGCGTGTGTTCTGGGGGGTGGGGGGGGCACTCTATGATGTGGTTGGGGCAGGGAAGCCGTAAGACTTGAAATCGTTCTGGATGTTTAGGATCTCTTGGGGGCCTGCGTGTAGCTCACAGAAGCCATCACATGGCTCTGTGAAGCCTGAACCCTGATCCTGAGCTTACACTTCGGGGCCTTAGGATTTAGCTTTCAGTGTTTAACCCATCGCAACAAATCCGGTGGCCGGGGTGCTGGGTGGGTCTACTTTCTTTCGTACTATAAAACCTAAATAATTACGTATAGTATTTTAGCGGTTCCTTAGCTATATTTATAGTATAAGGGGCCCCAGAACAGTAAACAGTTCAAAGACGGGACTAAACCCTCAACCCCTAAACCCCTCAACCCCTCAACCCCTACACCCCAAAACCCCAAAACCCCAAAACCTAAACCCTAAACCCCAAAACCCTACTCCCTGAGCCCTCCGCCCACACCTCCAGCAGTTGGCCCAAGAGACCCGGGAGATCCTCCCCCGGTCGGGAGAAGAGGTG